TATTAATAGAAGAAGATGACTTTCAGTTTTAAGATAAACATAAGAGTTCCATTAGTGGACGCAAGAATTAGATACATCACATTTTGAATGATGACAGTGATGACGAAGAACATACATCAACTAGAAAAAAAACGATTTATTCAATGTGTGAACATTTACTATTCCTATTGTCTCTATTTGCAAATCAATCATTGACGGACGTGATGTGCAAGCATACATATGACATCAAAGACTAAGCAACAGCAGGAATTTTATGAAAAGAAAACGCTAGTTTATCGCGTATGTATATTTGTAGTGATGATGACTATACTAAAAATCGGAACTTAAGCATAAAGAGCAAACCGGATGACAATTCCTTCCGATGTTTTTTCGTTTTGTTATGTTGTCGATGTCTTTCACTCTTTTCTCTATAATTATCCTTTACAAATGTGCCTCAATAACGGAAGATCGATGAACACGTAGCATATATATATATATTCATATCTGATCTATAAAATCAAAGTATGTCTATATATATCCTTTGTATTCGTTGCAATAAGGTCAATAGTTTGTTTACATTTAACACTCTATTATTACAATAAAGTCAATGTTCATTTATGACAATCATATTGATTGGATCAAAGGCGTGTGTGTATACCTCAATTCTAATTCAGAAGAACGAGATCATATATCTCACTAATCCGAACTATTGATAACATATTTTCGTTATAATACTATAAATTATTGATGAATAGTTTATTTAAAAGACAAATGCCTTGAATGACCTTGTTGGAAGAAAGAACGAGAGATTCTTTAGAACAAAATTGTTAACTAATAAAGTGATTGTCATTGAATCATATTGTGTCGGACGTTTTTTTTAAATGTCTTTTGATTCTTAACAATATGTTACCTTTACTTTATTCATACTCACTCGTACAGAAAAAAAAGAGGAAAGAAAAAATCTTGAGACAAGACCGAACAGGGAGAGAGAGAGAGAGAAAAAAAGAAATGTCTATAGTCTGTTTTTTCTGACTAGTGCCATATCTTTTGTGCTCACATCGCACGCATCTTGCGTTTTCTTATGCGAATGATGAGAAATTCATCAGCAACTTACTCGCACAAGCATTATTTGAGTTTTTCTTCCTTTATTTTTTTTTAATCATATAAGTACTCATATTATAATGAAAAATTATTTTAAACAATAATGAAAAATATTATTTTCCTTGACTACAACATAAAGTAGTAACAACAAACTATTTTTTGAGGTTATTAAATGATAATTATCTAAATGATATTAACAGGAAAAAAAAGGAGAAAAGAAGGTTTCTTAAATCAGATTAAATATTTTATTTTGCAGTTAACTCGTGTTGTCAATTTTAGCTTAGTAAGAGTTCAGTTAGATAGTCAAGAAAAAAAATCTTCATTGTTATCATTCTATATATATTTCTTGTTCTTTTTCATGTTTCTTTTCTTTTATGTTCATCCCGTAAATATAAATTGTTTTTCTTTGAATATGTGTTCCATTGACATTCAAAGTGTCTTTTTTCTTGTCATTTTTACGAATAGAATCAAGAATAATATTACACTCATTAACATTGCTATTTCCTCTAGATATAGAAAGAAATTCTTGAAGGAACAGAATATAATCATTATCATGGTAGGTGTCGATCGTTTTTCTTTTTTTTTATGATTAATCTCGTACTAAAATAATTTTATTATCATGAAGAATTAAAAAAGAATAAAAGAAAAAGTAAAGCTTTCGATAATTTCTAACAGAAGAAAAACGTCTTTTATATATATATATATTAACATGAATTCATTTGTTATCTGAAGGTCTTCTTTTTGTATTGCAGTCATTCAATCGTCATTCGGTTTCTTTCAACGTGTATATATATTGACTTTTGTCTATACCTTTTATTCTCTTTCTTTATAGATATTCATATATACATATATATAAATATATTCAATTTTTACTCTTACAATGTGCAACATGTATTATCGATAGTTGATTATTGAATTACTTATATATTCATATGAATATGAGTGATTTATCACCATTATTATCAAATTCGACTAATTCAACAAATTATACATCAGATTTAACCAGTAATGGCTTTAATTTTAGTTATGAATTCATGCGAAATCTATTTATTGCTGTTACTACAATAACTGTGCTTATTTGTCTTACCATATGTATAACTGTATGTATATGCATTTGTCTTAAACGGTATGTATATATATACATATATATATATTTATGAATTCTTTGATAATTCAATCCATTGATTTGTTTGAAAATCATATGAACGAATTATTCGACTATCTGATTCATTACCTTCTTTTAATATTGATTCCGATACATGTAATTTATCATCATAAAATGAAAGACCATGTATTAATTTGAAATTAGGTATATGGGTTATAAATTTCCATTTATTTTCTTTTTCTTCATCTATATAAAACAAAATATTTATTCTATATATATATATACATGTATAAATATAGAATTATTAATTACAAACACATATGAATAGTTGATACAACCATTGGACGACGTTTTACATTAACATTATAGCCGCCTGCAACATAAATAATTCTTCCAAATGAGATATTTTCATTTGGAATTGAAATAACTAATGATCGAGCTCTCATAGGTTCAATTGATGTTAGTTGTTTCCATTGAGTATCCGTTGTCCATATTAAACGATAATATTCACCATGTGTAATACTTACCGAAGATAATATATCAAATCCACCAATAACATGTATTTCCCCATCAATCATTCCAACACCTGAACCTGACTAAATTAAATATAAATTAAATTTTCTAAATTAAAAACATAATTATTACTATAGGTAATGGAAGATCTGGTAAAGAAATCCATTTTTCCGGTAAATTATTTATTTCCATAATATAACATTGTGCAGATGGTTTATTTCTAAGAGAATAAACAAAAAAATAATTAATAAAAATTTTCCATTTATATTTACGAAGGAGTATGACCACCGATTATAACAATATATTTTCCATCTGAAATATTTTTTTGAAAATATTTCTAATATGAAATATATTTCTATACCTGTAGCTAATCCAAAACTAACATTCATATTCGGTAATGATGTAATTGTTTGAAGAGATTCAGTTTTTCGATTATATTTAAAATCATGATTAGGTATTTTACGTAATTTATTAATTGGATCAAATATATATCCACCAATAATATATGAATTATCATCAGTATGAATAATAGCATATCGTTTTCTATATTGATTAAGATTTTCTAATGTTAAAGTTAATTTATCTGTTAATTTCATTATTTCTAATTCATTAATTTCCAATGTTGGTGATAATATAACTAAGGATGGATTAGCAAATTCAATTTTTTCATATTCAACTTCACGTAATTGTCCAAAACCAATCGAGAAATTTTTTTCTAAATAATTTCGATAACATTCATCTGAATGATTTGATTTACATGTTAAATGTTTTAATTGTTTTACATGAAAATATGATTGTTGTTGTTGAACTGAATAAATCGGTTCATGATATAATTGTTGTATCATTATGAGAGATACAGAAGAAAGAAAATAACAATAAAAATAATGTCATAGCAACATTTAATTATTTCATTTATTTT